CCCCCCGAAGTCCCCCCAGAAGAAACCCCCCCCCCCCCCCCCCCCCCCCCCCCCCCCCCCCCCCCCCCCCCCCCCCCCCCCCCCCCCCTTTTTTACCCCTCCTCCCGTGTTTCGCCTGTTCAAATGGAGTCCACAATTTTTTCAGTTTTTTGGTTTTCCCCTCCCACCCGATCCTTCAGGGGTGAGCCCCCCAGCTATCAGCCCAGCTCACCGCGCACTCCTCTGGAAGGGAAGAAAATTTTTCCTCCGCAGCAGGGGATATTTTTTCTTTCTTTTTGCACCCGGACGTCAGGGGGGGGGGGGGGGGGGCAATGGGGAGAGGAGAGGAGAGGAGAGGAGAGGAGAGGAGAGGAGAGGAGAGGAGAGGAAAGGAGAGGAGAGGAGAGGAGAGGAGCGGGAAGTTTGGAGTGCAGGCTGTCACCGGAGCTGCTTGTTCAGACGCTCCTGCTCTCGCCTCCTCTCCTCCAGCTCCACCTGCAACGACCTTGAGCGCCTCTCCTTCCTTCCTCCTCTCCTCTTCGCTCACTTGCGCCTGAGCGAGCTCCTGCTCCTTCTTCTTTGCCATCTCCTCGTCGGCTGCTCATCCAGTCAACATCGCGCAGGATGGAGGAGGGGAGGAGGTCCAGGTCTCCTGCCTCCCTGCTCACCGTGTCCGCTCACTAGCTTCTCCTCCATCGCCTTCAGCTGGGTAGCCAGTCGCTCTCGCTCTCTGGCGTTCCCCTCCTTGAGAATGCAACTAGCAAAGTTGACAAGCAAGTTCCTACCTCTTCTCCTTGGCAAGTGCCTCCTCCTTGCGCCTAATCTCTGCCTCCGCCTTGTCCCTCTCCTGCCACGTCACGACCAGTCAGCCGTTCTACCCGCATCTCGTTCCTTCCCCGCACTTCTTGTCGCATGTTCTCTGCCCTTGCAAGCTCGTCCTTCTGCTGCTGCAGCTTGGACTTGACCTTGGCATCTCTTCAGCACCGCATCACCTCCCCTCCCGCTGTCTTCTCACCTCGTCCAGCTGATGGTTTGACATCTGCCGGACTGCGCTGGACCCGTGCGAACTTTGCGGGGCTGCAGGAGCTTCACCTGACTGCTGGGCCTCCAGCAAGGACTTGAGACGCAAGATCTCTTCCTGCAGCCTCGAAGTCTCAGAGATCGCGAAGGAGATGAACGAGCGAGGGAGGGGGATTGGAGGGGGAGGAGGCGAACGGGGCTGCTTCACCTGGAACTCCCTCAGCATCGCGTCCTTGGGGTCTTCGTTGATCCTCGGCTTGTTCTTGATGTTCTTGGCTCGGTTCGCGTACCTTGCCAAGTTTGAGAGAGGAGGGGATGGATGAGAGGGGCAGTAGTAGGAGGTGACGGGGTTAACAGTAAGCACTGGACGGAGGAGGGGAGAGGAGGGAAGTTGGAGGAGATGAGCGTGTAGGAGAGGAGGGAGAAGGGGGAAGAGAGTGGAGGGAAGGGGAGAGCAGAGCAGAGCAGAGGAGAGGAGAGGAGAGGAGAGAAGTACCTCAACGTGCTAAGAGTCTCATCGTAGTTGTAGTCTGCAACAGGAACATCAAAAATGCTGGGAGAAAAAACTTCTACGCACCTGCAGGGCCCAAGTTTGCCACCATGACAGTCTTGGTGTTTCCTCCTAGAGAATCCTTCGACGTGGTGTGAGAAGAGGGAAGGAGAGGGAGAGGGAGAGACTTGGAGGAGGCGCGTGAGTTTGGAGTCGCGATACGGCACTGGTGGCAGCAACAGACTGGTCAGAAGGAGTGACGTGTCAAGTCTCCCTCTTACCGTGACTTGTCTTGGAGTCAACTAACGCTGAGATCACATTGCCTGCAACAAAAATGAGTTGCGATGAGCAATACAGGGGATAAGGGGAGGAGGGAGGAGGGAGGAAGGAGGAGGAGAACCGAGGGCAGAAAGGGACAAGTTGATCTTAGTCGCCTCCTTCAAACGCTCGCCTGCAACATCATTAGACAATACAACAAAGAAAAGTGCTGGAGGAAGACTATGATGGTTAAGGAG